TCTAGCCTCATCCTTGTCTCCTTGTGCTGTCACTGTTTATGGGGATACCTCCTCCAGTCACCTGAGTCCTGCAAGCATTGTGAGTGGCTGAATCCAAGCAACCTTTGGTCAGCTTTGTGTTCTGGGCCTTTAGAGAGCCTGATGCACGAAGAACAGCCATTTGTTCCTTTTTCTCTTCCTTAGGAGTTACCCTTCCTGGAAGGTTAAGCAGGAAAAAACTACAAGATCCTCATTTCCAAATGATATGACAGCAGAATGGGAAATGCCATTGCATGCTCCCTCTTTTCAGGTATGAACGGAAGCAGCTTTGAGAGTGGACCCTGCCTCCCTCTGCTCACCCTTTCTTCCAAGATCAGACTCAGTTCTTGTCTTTTCGAACCACAGGGAAACAGTCTGGCAAGAGCCACTGTTGTACCAACTGATTTAAATTGAAATGTTTTCCCCAGATAAATGCGTGCTAAATAATACACCAGCTCTCCAGCCAAAGGGAAGTGACAGGCACTCTGTAAATAAAGGCACTTAGTTGCTGGTAAAGAGCTGTAAAGTGGTTCTGAGCTGATGTTTGCTGACCAGCAAGAAGCAGCTTCATCTGCTTTATGTAATTGTCACTGCAGTTTTGCCTGCTGTATATTAAAACTGCATCTCATAGACCCGACTGTCACATCGGATATACTGTCCGGCTTGGGGTATGCCACCTTCTTCTGTAATTGTTTTTGACAACAACCCATCACATCTTGGATCTTTTCAGAAAGTGCCTGGTCCAGAATCCCTAGGCTGGGTCAGTTCTGACACCATGTGGGCTAGAAAAGTGACATCAAAATGGAATGTGAAAAGATAACGGAAGAGAAAAGAGAGGCTTTGTTAGTCTAGGAGCCCTGGTAACATGCAGTGGCAGCTGTCCGAGGAAGGCTCTACTTTCTCAATGTGAGGGCACATTTTTCATGTTAAATTACATCATGTTAGGACATCTTTCCATAAAGTTGCATGCATATTCTGACTCAAGAGCATGACATTTGTCCTGAATCCACATTTCTACCCAGCTAGGTTCTAGAGACATGGAAACATAGTTATCCAAACAAAGCCTAGCATGGGGTTCCATAAAGGACCACAGAGTACATAAGAATGAAAGCAAGGGTGTCAGTGGCCAAAAGTCTATGCATTTATCACTCAGAGGAGGTTAGATTTGTTTCCCAAAATGGTAAGCATAACATGAAATTCCCAGCACATTGGGAGGCCAAGGTGAGTGGATCACCTGAGGTCAGGAGTTTGAGACCAGCCTGGCCAACATAGTGAAAGCTTGTCTCCACTAAAAATACAAAAATTAGCTAGCGTGGTGGTGCACACCTGTAATCCCAGCTACTCGGGAGGCTGAGGCAGGACAATCACTTGAACCTGAGAGGTGGAGGTTGCAGTGATCTGAGATCATGCCATCGCATTCCAGCCTGGGCAACAGAGTGAGACTCCATTAAAAAAAAAAAAAAAAAGAAAGAAAGAAGAGTAACATGAAATCTTTTTAGTTCCCCTTAATTCCTATCCCCTTGGAGCTTGATCATGCCAAATACCCTGATGAAGAATGACAAACGTATCTCAGGCCAGTAGGCACTCCAGTTAGTCAAAAGGGTCGCAGTTACAGAGAGGCAGGGAAACTCAGCTCACAGACTCAGTTCACAGGCTGGGAGGAGCCCAAGGAGCAAGGTGCTGGGACTGTGGCCAGAGAAGTGAGCGCTGGGGAAAGAGTGACTTCTCTGTGTTGATGGCTTCCAGTGGACCACTGCCTTTGCAAGGCTAATGTGTCACCGGAGAACAGTATCCAAAAATGAGAGGAGCAGACAGACAAGAAACCAATGGAACATAAGGACTTGGCGGGCCTAGAGCTTTGACACACTTTCCTAGGGAGCAGAACAGACTGCTGGCTAGTGAGAGACAGATGCTCTCTTCCACTGCTGACCAGGGGTCTGTGAGAATCACCGCTAAGCATAGAAACACATCCTCTGCCTTCTTCTGTTATGTGTGCAGTCTTAGTCCATTTGGGTCACTGTAATGAACACCATAAACTGGGTGACTGATAGACAATGGAAATTTATTTCCCACAATGCTGGAGGATGGAAAGTCTAAGATCAAAGCCCTGGAACATTCAGTCTGTGGTGAGGACTTTCTCACAGTGTCCTCACATGACTAAAGGGGTGAGGGGTCTTTCTCAGGTTTCTTTTATTTTATTTATTTATTTTTTTTAGATGGAGTCTTGCTCTGTTGCCCAGGCTGGAGTGCAGTGGCGTGATCTCAACTCACTGCAACCTCTGCCTCCTGGGTTCAAGTGATTCTCCTGCGTCAGCCTTCTGAGTAGCTGGGATTACAGGTGCCTGCCACCACGCCCAGCTAATTTTTTTGTATTTTTAGTAGAGATGGAGTTTTGCCACGTTGGCCAAGTGGTCTCAAACTCCTGACCTCAGGTGATCCACCTGCCTTGGCCTCCCAAGGCATGAGCCACCATGCCCGGCCTCAGGCTTCTTTTATAAGACACCAGTCCCATTCATGAGGGCTCCACCCTCACCACCTAAACACCTCCCAAAGGCCCCACCACCTAATACCGTCACCTTAAGGATTAGGATTTCAGTGTATGCATTTGGCAGGGAATGGGTAGAGGGGACAAAAACATTCAGACCATAGCTGTGTGCATGTGTGTGTACAAAAGAAAGAGTGCCTTTTGTTTTTTTCTTTAGAGGAAAAATGAGCTCTCTTTCTTTTTCCTCCATATCTCCTATTTTTCTTGCTTATCTTTTGCTAAAAAAAAAATAAAGAAGGCTTTGAGCAGTGGGGAGTGAAACAATTGTTACCAGTTTGGCCTTTACATAGGATCAAAGAGGTTGGGATAAGGTTTAAGAGAGCTGGAAGGAACACCTACATCAGATGTATGTGTAACTAAATTACCCACTGAGATTCTAATCTATGGCCCTGGAAAATCGTGATGATTGAGTTAGGAGGAAACAGGCATGTTGGGGAAAAGGAGTGTTTTCCTGCCTCCTCCTGCTGGCTTCTGTCACTACTTAAAGGGAGAATCACTGCTTCTACTTTTTTCCATTCCCCTTGATGGTTCACTGCTCCCCAGGAAAGGAGCATCTAACAAGGGTTAGTCACATCCTGTTCATGTGAAGGTTTACTATGCTTTAAAGGGGTACATTTGAGTTGCCTGGGGATCTTGTTGGAATGCAGATTCTGATCTAGCAGATCTGGGGTGAGCCATGAGATTCTACAGTTTTCACAGGCTTCCCCAATAGATACCTGTACTGGCACAGGGCAGAGAGAACACATATTGAAGGTCAAGGGCCTAAAGGCAGGAACCAAATGCCAGCTTGCCTCTTTTTCCTCCTAGAAGGTCAGCTTACTGTCTTCTCATTTCCTTTCTCACCTGTGCTGCCTGGGCAGGAGGGGGGCTCTGCCTCTGCAGGATGCAGCTGGGAGTAAGAGTGCAGGGCCTCTCTTAGGCCTTGACATGTTGTTCTGTCCTGTGGGCACAGCTGAGCAGGTGGATACCAAGATCGAGATTTGGGTGTGGTAGGGAGGATGGTGGCGTGGAGAGGTCAAAATTAGGCTTCAGGCTGTATTGGGGTGATGTCAGAAGGACAGAAACCACTTCACATCCAACACAAAAGTAGAAGATTCCCTTAAGCTTGACCAGAAGGTGCTGTGAAACTCAAGACTCCCAGAGACGCCCCAACCCCTCTCTCAGTTCCCAGCAGTGAAGATACTTGCTCCCAGAAAGCCCCTCTGAGAGATGATTTGAACCTGGGTGTGCTAAGGTCTGGCTCCAGCTGCCTCCAAAGAATCAAAGTGTCTCTTTCTCCTCCACTTTCCAAATCTCATCCCAATGCCTCTCTCCCACCAGCTGACTCTAGCCGAGAGCCATGCAGGGAAGAGGATTCTAGGAATGATTGCTCCTGGATTTTCTGCAATGCTAAGCAAATGGTAGAAGGTGGTGGTGGTGATGTCAAGTTGACAAAAGATAATGTAGCTCACTGATCTAGGATGCGTGATCCAGCTGAGCTTCTAGAAAGCCTGGCATGACGTAGAGGAGGTCAGACACTTGCCCAGCTATCAATAAGGTGGTGCTTCATATGTCAGTAGCCATAGCGCTCAAGGACTGTGCTCCTACAGCCTTCCATCCTGGACTGATGGGATTCAGGTCCTCATCAGGCAGCCCATGCCACCCGCTGGTAGCCCTTATGTAACAACGATCCTCCAGTTTATGGCAAGACTACATGGAGGTGTCACTCAAAGGAAAATGCTCTGCATCCTATCCTGCCAGATGCTGATTACGGAGGTCGTTTGTTATGAAGGTTTTGCTGCGTTTCCTTTCTGAGACTCCTAGACATCTTTACTTGTAACCCCCATGCCCAGGATCCCAAAACAAATGACAGGAAAGACTGGGGCCAGAGTAGGAAGGCAGACTTGTGTCACTTAAGGTTGCTTTGCCTCCTATAGGAAAATGTGTGGTCCGACAAGTGTCACCTCTTGCTAAATGACTTTTAGTGTCCATAGAGTTGCCACTCTCTGGAGAGCACCATTCTTTGGTCAGCAGAGTCCTAGAGGCAGCTCTAACAATGGCAAAGTTTAACACTCCCATCCCAGCTCAATGGCAAAAATACATACTGGAAGGAAACAGTCAGAATTGTGCAGCCAGCATCTTTTCAGTGCTCTGACATTCAGCTGACACTGCTCATGAAGACACGCTTTGGGAAAGCTGAGGGGGTGGCCATTTAAAGCCTTGTTTATCCTCTGGAAAGGCAACCTAGTCTGTGTGGGGGTGACCAGGTCTCAAGCCTGCACCCCAGAATGGAAAGAAGAGGCAGCAGATGCCCCTTTGAAAGCCATCCCAGCCACCGCAGGTTTCACTGCCAGGCAGGCTGATGTGAGCCTCTTTGAATTACTGAGTGAAGGATATCCCTCTTGCTAGCCGCTGTCCCCCACAGGCACAGCAAAGAAGTATTACAGGCTGTCCTTACCTTGGGAATTAGCCTGCAAGACCCCGATGCTGTCATCAAACTGCATAGATTTGATGTTGAGTGACGCCAAGATGCATTCCTTGTCCTGCAGCGAAGTATCATCAATATTATTCTGATTGGCTGACAGGATAACGCACATGTCACAGAGGTTGATGTTGACAGCCCTTAAATCAGCCCGACTTAATGGCGTACCCTTTGGCATAGAGAAAAGAAAAAAAAAAAACAGAGAGAGAGAAAGGAACAAAAGTGAGAGGAGAGGGAAAGAGGAAAAAAATAAAAACAAATTAAAGATTGAGTCGGAGCTTTGGGAAATTATTTAACAAGTATCTTTTTTATGCCTTGACATTAAGCTGGCCTAACTACATTCAAGGGAATAGGAGCTGTGTGCTAATCTAAAGGGTAGTTGGTGCTGATGGCAGCATTTTAAGCTTGCTCTCAATACTCAATCAAGCTATTACTAACAAACGCGGGAGAGGAATTATGCCAGGGTTCTACATCTTCTTCCTGCCTGGAAATTGTCTTGATTTAAGTAACTGTCCTGTGGCAACCTCTGGCTTTCAGAATGTAATGAGGGAGTGGGTTTCAAGTGCCTGTTTATTTAATAGCAGGTCACTTCTGTCTCAGGCAAAAGACAGTAGTTCCAATGCAGCCAAGAGGAAATGGCCAGTGAGCATGGAGTGATGAGGTGGGCCTGGATGTGCGGCTCAATTTGGAAGCTATGGATGGAGTGGAATTAATGTGTGCAATGCAAAAGGGATATGGAAAGCAGTTAAGCTCCAGGTCATATAATTTTATTACATATTTCTGCAAGAAAAAAATACACAAGGTAGTGGCCTGATTGTCCAACAACATAGGAATGGTGAAATATACTTTTGGACATTCACACAGTGAAAATGTATGCAGGAGGCAAAGAGGCAGAGCTAGCTCTTCATGCAGGCATCAGCTTAGAGGGCTCTCTAAGATAGAGGGGAAGGGAAAAAAAAAGTTCTAGGGCAATTAAAATGTATATTTTCATTTACGTTAAAAAAAAAACCCAATAAAATAAAACTACATATATATAAATGTAAGTAAGTTTGGAAAGAAAGCACAGGAAAAATATCCATTATACTAATAATGGTAATTCCCTCTGGGAAGGGAAATAGGATTGCTGGGGGTGAGGGGAAAGTTTGCTTTTGACTTTATATACTTCTATATTGTTTGAATATTTTATAACAAGAATATATTTGTATATTATGGGTGCATTTAAAAATAAATAAGCCAGTAAACAGATTTTTAACATAAAAAATAACAAAAGATGGTGGGAAAATCCCAGATCCAGGAGGTAACAACAGAGTCCAGGAATGCAAGCACAGGTAAAATGGAAGGGTTAGAATTGAAGGGCAGGACCATGACCTCTACATGCTCTGTCTTCAGTTGGAGCCACAGCAAAATAATCAGGCCACCCCATGTCATAGCTCCCCAGTGGCCATGCAGCATCATTTTGGGGCTCCCATCTGGCCACTAGCTTCACTGGTCCTCTAGCTAGACTCTAGCTTCCTCTTGGCCTGCATGGTGACCTGAGTTACATTCAACTCTCTGATTGTATAGAGCGAGGGTTTACCAACTTCCACATATCTGTGAAGGTCTTCCTCTCATCTGCCTTTCTGGAGAAGTGGCTTCAAGAAGAGGAACTTGGCTGCAGAGATGAAGCCTATCTACCCTCTTTTATGATTCAGTGGTAGTCATGATTCTATTCTCAGGCCCTAAAATATTGCTGCAAAGTGCAACTATGGAGGAAGGGGCATTTAGCACTGTGGGTGCTGCTGAGACATAACTAGTTCCAAGCCCTGAAGCAGTGTCTCTTGAAAGAAGTAGAATGCCCTCTTCTCCTGTGACCTCTTGGTACAAAACAGCTCCGATCAACTTCCTGAGTCATTTTGCCAGTGCATAATCTTCAATTGCCTGCATCCATACTCTTTTAATTTTCACGTTGTAGGGAAGCCAGCTGTAATTGTGATATAAGATGATCCCTGTGCAGTTGTACACATATGATTTCAAACCACAAGAAATACAAATGACATACATAGAAATTGCTTATGTTTCCATGGGTTGGCCCTAGAGGCAGGGTACTGCTTAAACAATAAACTCTGAAGACATAGATGAAGGCCCATTTTGTGAAAACCTATTGTGCTTCAGTAGGTTACATTTTGGAGGGTTTGAAAAGGACTTGCAAATATGAGAGCTCATTCATATACATGAAGACAGACAAGTGAATGTATACAAGGGCACACAGAAGGAAACACAAACATACATAACACACACGCACAAATACCAAACGCACACAAATACCCAACTCTACACACACATACACGCAGACTCATGTATCCTAGCAAAATAATAAACTCTTTACCAAGACATTTTTAGAGGTCAGGGGACTATGTGGAAGAACGCATGTAGAAAGATAACTATGGAATCATGTGATTAAATCAACTGTATTTCTGGAATTAGCAAAGTATTTATATGCTTATGCTCTCCTTTATGTATGACTGTTGGTCTATAGGTGACTATGTTCAATCACCTGTGTTCACTAAGTCAGTGGGTTTTTGGCCCAGCATCCAAAATACAACTGTCTCATATTTTTCTCACTCCTTTAAATATTTATTGAGCCCTGTTTTGCCAGGCATTATGTAAAGACACATGGTGGCAACTGATGAGTAATGAGTACTACTTGTGGATAGATTCCTATGTGTTCTTTAATGAATTATATTACTTGGCTCTTTTTTTCCACATTTCTGAGGTTTTGGAAATTGTTGATAGAAATAACAGATTTTAGCTCTGTAAGTGGGGAAAAAAACCAGACCTCTTGACATACAAAGAAATCCATGTTCCTCTGTTTTTGTTTTTGTTTTTGCTTTTGTTTGAGACAGGGTCTTGTTCTGTTGCCTAGGCTAGAGTGCAGTGATGCTTACATAGCTCACTGCAGCCTCGACCTCCCAGCCTCTCAAGTAGCTGGAACTACAGGCATACACCACCACATCTGACTAATTTTTTAAACAACTTTTTGTAGACAAGAGGTCTCACCGTGTTGCCCAGGCTGCTCTCAAACTCCTGAGCTCAAGCGGTCCTCCCGCCTTGGCCTCCCAAAGTGCAGGGATTACAGGGATTAGCTACCGCACCCGGCCCCTGTTTCTGTTTTAGAGACATGAACTTATGAGAAAAATGTTGGAGGATAAATGTTTGCATGAATTTGTGATGTGGATAACTATATCAAATGTTGAAATGCATAATTCTTTACAATTTTTGGTAAGTTTGTGGACTATGCATTGATTATGGTTATGAAGTAGCTAATTGCGTGACTCCTAAATCCCATATCCTCACACTAAATTGTGGAGTCCCAGATTGTTTTTTCAGACTGGAGTCCTAATGTTTTGCAGTCAAGAATATCATGTGCACACACACACACACACATATACAATCGTGAACACATTTCTGTATTTCTAAATTAATAGGGTAGGGCTGAGCTACAGAAGGAGTTGGCCTTCTGTACAGCAGAAATAAAGAACTCTGTTATTTGCATTTATTTAGTTAAAAACAGAAGGTGGCACAGAACAGGTTTCTCCAAGCATTAAAAATGCCATAAGTATAATGCTATAGTTTTATAAGCAAATAAACATCACAATATAACAATGCTCTAGGTTTTGTATAGGCAGGAGCGAGAGAGTGTTTAGACATGGATGTGGTTAGTATACTTGATACAAGCTAAACTTCATCCCTGATGAGGGACTGAACTTGGCTGCAAATTCCTTTTAATAAGGTCTCCCAGGGTTTGGATTTTCCTTGACAGAGCATAGGGGAAGTGCTGAGTCCTCAGGCCCATATCCAGATGAAGAAGCACAGGCATGATCAAAGCTACAACTATTACATCCATCTGGGATTTTCTTTTGTGAATGAAAAGAAGAAAAGGCATCAATAATGTGACCTTGGACTTACAGGCAATATGGACACTTTGGGGAAGTTATGAAGCGTCTCCCATTCCCGCTTGAGGTACTCAATAGAGCCCACAAACACAATGTGCTTGAGCTCGTGGTAATGAAAGTTGCTGGCACGGAGCGGCATCACCAGGTTCCGGAGGCCGATCAGGGCTGAGCTGACATCACCAAAGATACAGACCACGACATGGCCACTCAGGACAGTCATGGCGGCCTCACTTCGAGTCTGCAACAGGGAGATGTGTGTAAGTATCAGAGAGAAGACTGCATAGGGCTGTTGTGAGGAGTGAAAAAATCATTTGTGCAAAGAATCAAGTAAACATTTGCTGAGAGCTTACTATGTGCTATTATTTTTATTTCATCAATGTTATATACATGTCATACAGAGCTATAATTTGAGCATGTGTATATGTATTATATTTATGTAATAAATCTATCTAAATGTATATCCACACACATTGTTACTTTCTTTAGCAAAAAATTTTAAAAAGATATGCCATAAATATGTGTGAGCAGATCTTCACAATCATTTTCAGGAGGTAAAATAAGAGAGAAAAGGAATATTTATGCTATTTGGAAAGAGAAGTCTTAGTTTCCATGAAACTGTTGATTAAATGAATTGCCTTTTCTGGCTCGCTTGCTGAGGTGATGATAAAATGGTCAGATCCCTACAATGAGCTCAGTTTGAGAAATTCGAGTTTGGAATTCCAGATTTATCAGTGAGATGTCAGTGCATCATTGCATCAGCAGGTGGAACATGCTACCTCAAGCCAGGGGTGGAAAACTATGACCCACAGGCCAAATCTGGCCCATTATGTTCTTTTGTATGTCTGTGAGCTAAAAATGGTTTCTGTGCTTCAAAATGGTTGGAAAAAAATCAAAAGAAGACTATGTCATAATCTGTGAAAATTAAAGTTCAAATTCCCATAAAGTTGTTTTGGAACGCAGCCATGCTTATACATTTAGGTATTGCCTATGGCTGCTTTTATGCTACAACAGCAGAGCTGATCAGTAGCAACAGAGACCTTATACCCTGAAAAATCTAAATTATTCATTATATGACTTATTACAGAAAAATTTGCTAACCCCTGTTCAATGCTGTCTTGGCGTTTCCAAGGACATTTCTGGAGGGGCCTGCTTTGCTTAAGTTATTCAGAGAAAAGATCTTCCCAAATAATCATTACAAGGGGCAAGAGAGAGGTCAATAAGAGCAACAGGCCGGTGTCTTCCTCCAACTCCAAACCTCTATCTACAAAGGAGACCAATGAAAGGAGAGGAGAACCCCAACTTCCCAGGAAATACAAACGCTTAATCACTGCTGGTCCTTTGATTCACAAAGCTAGTGAAGACAGGAGGCCAGCTGTGGACCTTTCTCTGCCTCTCCTTCTGGACTGATGATGCCTCCCATCCCTGTGTACCCACTTCATGCTTGGATGCCTCCATGTGGCTTACAATGCTTTCGGGAAGGCATATTAATGTCCACTGTACATATCAAACTCTGCTTGATTTAATCTCTAGAATTGATCACTGCATTGATTGTATAAATGCCAATATAGCAATTTACGACAATGTCAGGGTTATTACAATAACCCCCAAGGAGAGGAGGAAGCTAGCTTTCACTACTCGATAGTTAGAATAAAGCAGAGGCTGTCACCATTATTGGTTTCCCTCTGCAACAGTCCAAGGAAACCAGAGATACAAGCTGTAAGAAATGCCTTATAAACTGTGACCAAGGAAGACCCACTGGGGAGCTCACATCACATATTCCCACTTCCTACAGAAGACCTGGAGTTAGTTATCTGGGTCACATGAAAATGCAAGCACCTGGGTGCCACCAGAGGACACCCAACCAATCTATAACGCACTGTTATGTGATGGGGCTCCTAATTATTTTTAATTGGCCAAGTCACCTGGGAGCCTAGCTCCCTTCAACAAACTGGAGGAATACAAACTGGGCCCAGGGTGGAAATGAATTCTAGAATTGAGAGGTGGGGAAGGTACAGATAGCAAAGTGGCTGAGGCACAGATGCTGACCCCAGGAACTTCGATCTGCGCTCAAAACACCCATCTTCAGATTGGCCACAGCTACATCACCTGGATAATCTTATAAAAGTCCTAATTCTAGAGCCTCACCTCTTGTATGTCTGATTCTGCTGGGTTTAAGACACACTGGAGAAACTGATCATTTGTTTCTCTATGTATCTTGAATTCCTATGCATCCTTCCAGGCCCAACCCAAGCACAACCTGTGTTTATTTGATGGGCGTTGTCTGGCCATTTAAACATATACTAGTCCTTCTCCCCTACATTTCAACAGCACTTTGTGCCTCTTACCACTTAGCTTTAAATACACTGTTTCGTGGTTACATTTTATTCACAATTGAGACTATCTCATATCTTTGAATCCCCAAAGTAGTTAGTTTCCTGTGTCCAGTGGATACATACCCTCAAAGCATCCTCATGTAGCTGGCCTTACCTATCATTCTCATCTCTAGCCCAGTGTTACTTTAGAGAGGGCTTCTTGGATCAAACGTTCCAAACAGTACCTCCCAGTCTCTTTCTAACCTATGAGGCTGCTTTATTTTTTTTCGAAGCATCCTATAAATATCTGAAATGTTATTACATATTCATTTGTCTACCTGGAGATAACTCCTCTTCCCTCCAGCCCCATCCCACTAGAATACAAGCTCTATGAGAGCGTCGTTGTCAAGGATTACATCTCCAGCAGCTAGAACAGTGTGTGGCACATAGTAGGCCTCTTGTAGATTTTTTGTTAAACGATGTTATTTTTCACAGGATAGAAGTAGTAACTCACCTTCCTTAACTTTTTTGTGCTGGCAGGAGATGTTGATTGGATATCAGTTGGCATGCATACTTCAGCAATATCTAGGCAAGTCATTAAAACCCTAGGTCCCAGATAGGGCATCCAGCCTATGATGTGCCACAAGTGGTCACCTCAGGCAAAGTTTAGACCACCAGAGCAAAAGTGCCATGAATACATCAGAATGTACATACATGAAGCAGCTTTGTGGGTAGAACCATTTGCACTCCTGGTCCATTGAACAATGGCTGTTTACTGAGAATTCTGACTCTGTGTTCTTGCCTGCAACTTTCCCTCCTCTGAGACAGCCTCCAGCTTGATACTTTATTGACTCTTAACGCTCGTTTGTAATTAAATTGAGACCTCCCTCCTAACACACACAGATAAAGCATAGGAAAAAGTCCAGTATGTTAGAGTACAAAGCCGTTCTGAGGATCCAGAACCATCCTTGTTTGGGAAGGGTGGTCCTGATATCAGAAATGTTAGGATTTTCCTGGTTGACAGAAAGAAACAGACCCAAACCAATCTGGGGATTAGAGGCCCATGGGAGAAAGAACCCTTCCATCTGACTTTCCTGATTATTAATCAATTTCTCATGGATTAGCAAGACAATAAACTGTAGGAAAGCCAATGTAGGCATTAAGACCCAAAGCTGCTAACAGAACAAGGGCAGAGAGTAGAATGGATTGCTATCTACACTGACATTCCTGGGACAGACTGAGAGAGCCCACTGCTGCTATGAAGATATTCACAAGCCATCCACAAAATAGGGCTCTGAGCCCTAGTCTCCCCAAGGGGGCTGTAGTTCATTATTGTCATCATTACATCATGCATCATCATGCATTTGCCTGCCTATGACATGCGCTAAGAAGAATCACAGATACTCAAGGCTATTATCTATAAGAATATAAAACACTGCGACAAACCAGTAACAATGCAGGCAGCATTCAGCTTTCCTCACAGTATTTAGTAAGAAGAATAAGAATAATAAGAGGTAACTTGATTGGGTCATATGTTGGGTTTTAATCTTCACTACAGCCCCATGAATTAGGGTCATCCTCATCTCATCTTTTTACAGATAAGAAAACTGAAGTGCAAAAAGTCAAGTGAATTACCCAAGCCATGCAGCTAATAAATGGTATGAGCAGGCCCTGACACCAATACCAGGGCCACAGGAATTACGTTCATACCACCTCCCACCATGCCTTTTTCCCACAGCACATGATCACCCACTCTTACGAGGAGCCAATATATTCAGAGATTGAAAATTCTGAATATTGTTCATGTTCTGATCAGAGTTGTAGCTGGTTCAATCTATGCTCAGGATTTCAACTATCAAAAATAATTAGGACAAAGGATTGTATCATCCCACTGTCCCATTAGAGAAACCCCATTCCTAGCAAATGTGGTTCGGGGCAGAAGCAGACAACATCAGATCCCCAGTCCCTTCTCACCAGGATGACTTTCTCTATATCCTTGGGCGCACACCAATGAAACATCCCAGTAGAGTCGTACTTCTTCACATTGGAGTCCATGTTGTCAATCTGATCATTGCCAGGAATTAACAAGGGGTCATGCCTGGGGAGAAAAGGACAGGAAAACCTAAGTGGAAAATGTGATAAATTATAAATGGAAAGTGCCCCCTGAATTACATCTCAGAGGAGATGAAAGAGGCAGAGGAAGTGGTTGTCAGTAAAGGCCATTCTTCTGCTTACAGAATCCAACCTTTGAGAGACAGCTACCCCAAACCACCACCCCTCCCCCATTTGGAAGTGCAGCTGACCTTTGTCAGGGAGCATTTCTGCCTTTCCCCAGCTCCTCTTTTCCTAAATGGTCTTCCTACCATTTTGTGGATTCCGTCTGCCTTCTTAAGGCTACCTCACTCCTCTTCCTCTCATTTTACCAGCTTTTCGATCTCCCCAGCATACACACACACACACGTGCGCGCGCACACACACACACACACACACACCCCAAAGGGTTGCTATTAGCATCGGCAATGAAGAGGAAGGAATAGGAATAGAGCCTCATGTTGACTGACTGGCATGAGGATGGAAAGCCAATTACTCGCTCTTTCTGACTACAACTTCTGACGTGATGCTCTTCGCAGTAAAAGCTTTAACAGGCTGCACTTTAAATATTTTAGCAATTTGCCCAATCAGATTTTGCTCTCCCCAGCTGAAGCCCTTTAAAGATTCAGCAGCGTGTCACTTCAGAGCAGATTGACTACCAAATGCCCACATCTGGAATACATGATTTCAGTACTAAACAACACCCTTCCTCCTTGCCTTGACAACTGTATATGCACTAACCATCCCATGATGCCCCCCTTCTTCACCTCCCAACTGCTGCATTCCTTAGATGAGAGCCTCAAGCCCAGATGCATCTTAATAAACTTGTTTCACATTCACAGGGCAACATTCACCCTCTCTTGCCTTGTTTATAGGTGGAAAAGGAAGATGCTTCCATAAAGTCTAGTGGGTTGGCAGAGACTCACTGACAGCCTTAAGAATTGCAATAGAATAAGGCAGGTCTAACAAGCTTACAGCACAACAAATACGCTCCTGCACCTTGGGTCACAGTCAATGTCCATGATTTTATCTCTGATAGTGATTCAAACCTCAGGTTTGAGAAGTCATTGTTCCTTCCTGCAAAACTGGCCATATAATTAGGACACTGCCCCAGCTATACTTAACCATTCTTGCAATGGAGCTCTCTTTTCTGAGTAATATTGTTGACATAAGACAGAAAATATACATAGGGTCAAATTCCATAAATTTATTATAAAGTGATTTTACCTTTTTAAATTATATATTTTAACATCAGATGACGTCCTTTATTTAGTTTCTATTATTTCTCCCTCTGAAATGTCTCCGATACTTCCCACTTATATATCAAGAGTACAGAGTGGGATGGCAATCTCTCTTCCATGGGCCAAAAAACTAGGATTAAGCTTTTGAATATCTACCATCTCCAACATGCTCCCCACTCCCACATAAGATGAGAAAACTCTCTTGCTGCACTTATTTATGCCTGGGAATTTGCTTTTAGACTATGCCAAATGACAAATACCATGTGAAGCAAACTTGCAAAGTTATCTTCAATGAACAGGCTAGATTACTATAGGAACTGTCATATCTGATCTTAAAAGAAGAACAATCCCACTCCAAGTAGCCTCTCAGTATCTGGATTGTTGAGAGGTCTCGGGGTATGTAAACCACCATCTTCCAAATACTGAACTTAGTCAAAGATGTTAAAATAAAAAGGCAGTTGCTGATAAGAACTGTTTACAGATCAGGGTGAGAACAAATTCTGAGGAATGTTTCTGTCCTTGAAGAATCTTTAACAGTTGCATAGATATCTATTAATATTTTCTGGAATAGGTTGGTAGACAAAAGCCATCATGGAGAAGAGGTTTGAGGAAATGAACAAAATAAACTCTTTCCAGACCCTGAAGAACATATTTCAGTTGTGAGAGAATCTTAATAGACTTTCCCCGAAGATATAGCGTCAGGTTCAAATTCCCTTGCCCTGTTTACTGGTTGGAGAGAAAGTGTTATCTCAGGATGACTGGAGACCTGCTCCCAGTGCATTTAGGATTTAAAAGATACTTAGAACTATGTTCTCATAATCTCAGCAAGCAAGCAAATGAAACAGCAAGCTGGCAAAAAACAAATACTTTTAGAAAATATGTGCCTTGGGGAAGGGGAGATACATTTTGGTTTGGTATATTTGATTCTTTCTGGAAAGGAGTAAGACGTTGGTAACAGTGGCCTGCAACTTTCATCCAGAAAAGTAAATAAGCAAACCTGATGATCAATTGCCCTTCAATAAACAGAAAAAAGACAGCTAATGTCAAGCTTCATTAACTGGGGTAGGGGTTTGCAGAAACCAGGCATAATTTGTTACTAGAGCTACAAGCCATGATTTGCACTGGAACATCCAGAGGCACCCAGGAGGTCTTAGAGGTATGCCATGCTACACTTTACTCCCACAAATCTCTCAGCCTGGCCTGGACTATTTAAATACAAACCATCCAGGATTTCCCCCAAACAGACTGACCAGAGGAACATCAAAAACCTCCTGGAGCAAAGACATTTCCCTTTCTGACCAGCATGGTACCTGGAATTCTAACTTTAGTTTATTGAATCAGTAAAGCAACCAATTAGATTCCCCTATTCTGAGCCTGGAATGGAGGATACAGTAATGATTAAGACAAAGTCCCCAGTCAAAGAGAGGTCCACAAGATAGCAGGAGAAAAGATATATAGATATAGATATAGATATAGATATAGATATTACACACACACACACACACACACACACACACACACACACATAAACCAATAGTTCAATAGGTATAGTACCTTTTGGTAAGTATTACAGCAAAGTACAAGGTGGTATGAGAATACCAAGAAAAAAGCTGTTCATATCCTGGTATTTGGTTAGCAGTCAGGAAGGCTTTGCAAAGAAAGTAGCATCTGATCTGAGTCATGAAAAATGAAGAGGAAACTCAGCACGTAGCAGTGTTGATCCACTAATAGCCCGTAGAACCCACTCAGAGAATTGAGGCCCAAAGGAAAAGGTCCAAATAACAGCACCTGAAACCCTGGTTGAAGATGTCGGATACCATATTGCCTAAGGTACAGAAGACTCAGACCAGGCCTTCCGCTGTCTCCAGATGTGCAATGGCAGTCAAGTAGGAGATGGTTTAAACTGATTGAATATGATCAACTGACAGCAGTCTAAGAATGATGCATGAGATTTGGAGAGAACAAAAGTCACGTTTCCAAAAAAAGAAGAGTGTTATAAAAATTGGAAGTAATTCAAAAAGGAAATGAGTTGTTGCCCAAGATAGCAGGTTTCCTATCATTGAGACATTCCAGAAGAGCAAGGGATACAAAGAGGACTTGTCAGCCTAGAAGATCTTGAAGGTTCAAAGCACTGTGCTGTCACTGGGGAGAGACACAGCTAGAAGAATTTTGAAAGTACGAGACCATTGTTGGATATCAGAAGGTTGGAGCACCCTGAGTAGGTGAAGAAAGGTTGCTAGAGTGAAGATGAGAGGTAAGCAGCATGGGAGAGGGATTAATCCATGGCTCCGTTAAGGACCAGTACTGTTACACACTCACGGGATTTCAGAGCCTGGGAGTAAGCTGGGAACATGATTCATTGCAGCAACAATTGTCTGTAACTGTTTCTGGCCAGACGGGATAAATTTCTTTACCATGTCTCTTCCTGTACTAATTTCAAGTGCTTTAGGCTGGCTTATGCTGCAGAGAGATCTCTCTCGAACGGGTGGAGAGTAGACAGTCAGTTGTCCACAGGGACTTCTGCTTCCAAATCAAAGTTTCTAAAGCTTCTATTACTAGAAGAAAGTCCAAGCATTTGCCATTGAGTACACCAGCCAACACTGCTGTGATCCAGAGAGACCCAGAGGAATTGGGCAGTTTGTTGTATGGATAGGAGGATCATGAGAAATCTCCTTGAACAAGGAATCCCAACATCTTCAGTTTGCAAGGTGATAGAGACCCACTTCCAAAGGCTCTCCCGCAACTCCTCAAAGGCCAGTTAGTTGGAATCAAGGACCAGGATTAGATATCGTCTTTCACATTATAATAACATTACCTAAGTCTTCCACTCACAAAGTAATTTTCGACTTCCCTAAAAGACACCATAATTAATTCAAGGCTCACTTGTCACTTGCAACTTAGACAATGAACATGCCTTAAGATAGAGTAATAGAAACTCTATGAGGTGAGGTATATCTGTGGTTTCATTTTTGTAGGCTGAACTGTATTATCCCTCAAATTTTTATGTAAAGTCTTAACCCCCAGTACCTCAGAATATGACTGTATTTTGACATGTGGTCTTTTAATTAATTAAGTTAGAATTAGATCATTGGTGTGAGTTCTGAACCAATAGGACTGGTGTCCTTACAAGATGGGGAAATTTCGGCCAGCTTTTCTGCAGGAGGGAAGATCATGTGAAGACAGAGGGAAAACACAGAGACCTGCAAGCCAAGAAGAGAGGCCTGGAACAGATCCTTCCCTCAAGACCCTCGGGAGGAACCAACCCTCCGAGACTTTAGTCTCAGACTTCTAGCCTCCAGAACTGTGAGAAGCTCTGTTGTTTAAGACACTGCATCTGTCATACTTGATTACAGCATTCCTAGAAAATCAACACAATAGTCCACCTTGAAGAAAAGCAGGCACAATGTATCAGATATCCCTTAGCTGAAGGACCCCAGCTGCCCTTCTTGAATCTTAGGTTTTTCTTGTCCATTTAAGGGGAAAAAAAAAGCATCCTGCCATTATTTCAGGAATACATAGAAATACATATGTAATACCAAATATCTTCTCTAAAAGTTTTGGGCCAATATCCCTCCCCTCTCCAGCCACTTCCTCTACCCCATCAACAACATACAAGCATGTTAGATCTACCTTGCCAGAGTGGTAACTTCTCTCCATCTTTAACTTACACATGCACTTGAGGATCAATGCCAATGACAGCCCAGCCTAAAGCAAAGAGGAAGTCTGAACACTATCCAGCCAATTTGGTCAGCCTAATTTACAGAGT